CTCAGAGCTCAGACTCTTGAGCGAGCTCTTAACCAACTGAGCCACTCGGCCGGCCCTGTCATACTTTTCTAGGTGCATATGATACATCAATAGAAGCATTTTAAAAAGCATTCATCTAAAGCAGTGATTTTGAACCGTCAGTATATTCCAGGCTCACTTAGGGGTACTTCAAAAAATAAGCTGATGAACAAAAAAATCAAACAGAAAACACTGCTGCCCTGGCCCCACCCTAGGAAGGTCTGAGTTCTTGACCTGTGATGCAGCCAGGGCATAGTATTTTAAAAAGTCCCTTCCGACATGGAGCTGCAGTTGAGAACTACTGATTTAGTTCAATGGTTCTGAAACTTACTGTGTAGAGCAATCACCTGAGGGATTGGCTAAAAAATTGAGGCTTGCCAGACTTCATCCCCAGAATGTCTGATTGAGAGGGTCTGGAGTGATACCATGGCATGCCGACTGCATGGGTCCTCAGACAACTCTTGGAGAATCAGTGTCCTAATTGCTCAAAATTCAGTTACTCCAATTGTGTAACTCAAAGTGTGGTCCAAGGATCAGCATCAAGTGGGTGCTGCCTGTTAGAAATGCAGAATTTCAGGTCCCACCTCAGACCTACTGCATCAGAATCAGAATTTTAACAGGGCCCCCAGGTGTCTCATATGGCCTAGCTCCTTTCTTCCAAAGAGCACAAAGTGCCTTATAGCTAACCATTCAACCTGCTGAAGTGGAAACACCAGGGTGAAGGAGGGCCGGCAGTACAAGCAGGTCCTCGAATGACATCGTTTAGTTATAATGAGATGCCGTAGGAACTTAACTCTTGTTTGTATCAATTAGCCTGTGATAATATTGGTTTCATTATACATTGTTTTGCTTCTACTCGCAGAACCTATCAATAATATTCAGTGAGGACTTACTGTATCGTCTCTGTTATAATAGACCTGGCACGTTAAGTTCCACGTTCCCCTGTTAGCTGGGAACAGCAGGCACAGGCTGCTAACATATGGTGTTTCCCTGAAAATAAGACCTAGCATGATTTTTCAGGATGCTCATAAGCCCTACCCCAAACATAAGCCCCAGTTAAGATCGTCAGCCAGACATGACTGAATAAATGTAGATTTTTGTACATGAATAAATGAATACATGTAGATTGTTCAAGCAAAAATTTATATAAGACCTGGTCTTATATAAAGGTACATGGTAGGTACCTTTGCCCTCCCTTCTACATTTCCCCATACTATATGACTTGCTTGACTTCACATGGTGAACTGTAGAATCAGAACTCCTGCCTTGGTCTAGAGCTATAGGGGATAATGCCCAAGAATGGTGTAAATCAAATAAATTGAAAACATATGTCTTACTGACTCAGCGATGTGGAGCAGTGCTGGAGCCAAAGTTCCTCCCTGCCTGTGTAACCCGCTAAGGCAGTGACGTGGATCCAGTGCTATCTTATTCCATCTCTCTGGCCACCGTGTAAGTTTTCTCAGGAGAGTGAGAAGTCAGGCAGAGAGAAATCTGTTCTCTTTCTCCGTTTTTCAGCAACTCCATCAGATTCCCGGAAGGAGTGGCATACCAGAAAATTCCTCCCTGTGCTAATAGGGTTAGTGATCCTGAATTTGAATGCTTCCGGCCCATAACTTTGGCCAAAGAGCCTCTGCCATCAGTTGAGGTGCATGTGGTTCTTCTATAGAGGTCACCTTCATCTTTTTTCTTAGTGAGACCTTTCCTCTGAGGAAAGCCAAACAGTCTTCTCCTTGCAGAATCACTGAGCATAAATAGGTATTACGATTCCCGTGTGTACACTTGAAAGTAAAGGCCCCCAAAGGTCCATTTCACATACCTGAAGTCAGAAAATTGGTGTTGACATTTTTATTCAGTCAATATTGTGGTACACCAAAGGTTTACATATATTCACTATGCCTGCTCTTGTTTCCTTAGCCCCCCTTTTTTTTAAAAGATTTTTATTGGGGAATTGGGGGGTGGGAACAGTGCTGGGGAACTGGGGGGAAGGGGAACAGACAAGTTGCTGTCATTTTTGTTCTTCAATCTAGTTGTGGAGGATGTTGCTTCACTGGCCCAAGTTGGCACC